CCCCTCCCCCCATTTTTCTACCCACACACACATTTATGCTTTGACTGTTAAATTGTCAGGATATTTATTTTTATTTTCTTTCTTTAATATTTCCTTAGCCAGCTTTGCGACTTCAGAGACGACTGTTCGGAATTTGTTTAAGTTCTTTTCTCCCTGTAGCTGTATCATAAAAAGCTAGACTATATTAAAGGGACTGTTCGTAAAAAATGAAAGGGTATAGGCTTATATCGAATTGAATTCGATTGATTCGCTATTAATTTCACTTTTATTTGTTGTGAATATATAAGAAGAAAATGGCTTCATACGTCTTATACCCCGAGAGTTGTATCATTCCACTCAAAACGAATAAATTTCAATTTAATTCAAAATTATTCATTTAGATTTAACAACCCAGAGATGTCGAATTTAATTCGATGCATGCATATTTAGTTAATGTTTCAAAATATTTTTTTATAATTTTTATTGACGATGTAAGAGTTTTAAGACGGTCCATAAGATCTCCTACTTTGTATTTAATCCTGTAGAGAGATAAATATATCTTCAGATAAATATATTGAATAGCTGGAAGGTATGGTAGATCTGAATTCTATATCAATATCTTAAAATCTGATCAGCAGCCTCATATTTATAGATTTAAACAGGGTGTCCAAACCAGGGAATAAGAAAAGGAAGGGAAATTGCGCTGGCCAGGCTTGAGAAAACCAGTCGCACTGCTTTGCAGAGGAGTTCGTTATTACACACGCACACTCTTTTGGTACAGACACACAACATGACTACGGTCAAGGAAATTGCAAAACAATGTTGTCAATTATAATTAAGCTTGAATAACGAGTAGTTTATTGTAAACTTTAATCAAATTATATTCTTTGCATGAAAATATGGCTTATAGTGTTGACATAGATATATAAATAATATATTACATGTATATTAAATTTATTTTTTACAATAATAAACAAACGTATTCTCCTAGACTGTACAAATGCCGAGATTCTTATGTACTGTATATACCAACAATACACGCCTTCAGTTCGGTATCACTTACACACACTCTTTTGGTACAGACACATACATGACGTTTCAACCCCCTGGACCAAAGTCGTATTTTCCCAAATGTGCAATTTCCAAAGCGGGAACTTCCCAAGTATGTCCTAGCCGCAGCGTTCGGCCCTTTAGTATGTTCTAACCGCAGCTCTCGGCTCCTAGCCGCAGCGCTTAACCCCCCCCCCCCATTGCGGCGCCTCAGAAGGCCTTCCCTAACCTTTGGGAAGTTGCCGCTTGTTTTTTCAGGACACCTTTAAAATCTATGAAGTTGTATAATATTTATTATATATTTGTAGAAAAGTCAATTATATATCTTGGTCCAGTTCCTACACGTATATATTCAGCATCAGATAATAATCATAAACAAACTCCGCCCACACTATGTAGTAAATAAGCCATTGCAAAAAAATGACTTATTGAGTCTTTGCCACAAACTAAAATGTCCTAATCCCAATATCCTGATGGTATATTTCAAACTTAGATAATTTGATGTAGCAAAATTCTTATTTTGAAATATCTAAGGTCAACACAACATTGGTTTGTACAGAAGGTGTAGGGATTGTAAAATCAGAATTTGAAGTAAACACTCAATTCCCTAATTACATATCCAGAACGAGGGAGGGGTTTGGAGAGCAAGAGTAGAGAGAAGATTATGGGTGGAGCAAAATGAGGAAAAAAAAAATAGTTGAAAGCCTCGAATCTTTATGTATGCACTTTATAAAGTTTAAAAAATTAAATTAAACGCTTAAAAAATTGGTTTGATCATTTTGTGTTTCTGGTTTTAAAGAGACTGTTAATTTAAAATGATTCCCCATAAAGCGATTATTTTTCTTGACTCATCTTTAGGATACTATTCTGATTCCTTTTACTTGAATTTATGCTAGTACAGACTAGCATGGAAACCCAGCTTTGCCTGGTAACTAAATTTACTCTATAAAAGTCAATTCACTCAACTAGAATCTTAAACCATGCTTATACCCGTGGTTCTCAATCTCAATCGAAATAAGTCCAGAGGTTCATGAGTTATGATCGGATATATAACAAGTAAACAAACAATCAGAGATTACTACTTTATAATTATAGATATCTCTGGAAATAATGAAACATTCTAATGTTAATATACAGATATTCAAAAATCTAATTAAAACGATTATTGACAAGACATTTTGAATATGCAATGANATAGTAGAGACAGGGATTTGATTGCTCGGACGCCTTAGGATTTAAGCCTAAAGGTTTTAACTGATTCATGGCTGACATGTAAGAGGAAAATGTTTTATATTTGTTTTAAACATATTTTGATCCATGATAATCCAAAGAAAAATAACTAGAGCTGTTTTTATCAAACCTTTTGTTTAGAAGCGTCGCAAAGTTTTTCTGACTCGAAAATTGATTATTTCTGAGAATTTCATAGTGTTTCTTATAAACCATGGAATGCGCAAGTTACTTTAGCAGAGAAACCACAAATAACAAATTATAAGTTTAATCAAACAAAAAATGCATATTTAATTCATATTTGATCATACAAAACTTTTCAGGATTTCGTTGTAAATCAGGCATTGCCATCTTTGAATTGTGAGTCTCACTTAGAATTACGCTTACAGTCCCTTTAAATCCGAATATAACTTCAGTCCTTGCAGTTAGAAAATAATCTCTAATTACAAATTAAAAGATTCAATAAACCATGGTTAGTACTTACTGGTAGGGCTGGGCACGCTCCAACTTTTTCTAGCCGTTTCGTTTCGTTTCCAACCATTAAAAAAGAAAAATATCAGGTAGCCGTTAAAATTAAGAACGAAACGCTCATTTCGTTACCGGTATTTTCCGTTTTTTTTAAAGTTACTGTTAATTAACTTTTTCAATTTTATTAACGTTTTCAACCGTTAACTTTTTCGTTAACGATTAAAAATTAACAGCTTTTGCCGTTCGCTAATTTTAAAAAACCTCCGCTTCTTTAACGGAACTTTGCCCAGCCCTACTTAGTGGTTACTTATTCACATGAATCGCTGTATCCCTGTATCCCTGCATCCCCGTATCCTTGTATCCCTCATACCTCTTCATACCCTGTATCTATGTATGCTTTTTTCCCTGTATCCCTGTATCCTCCTATATACCTGATTTGGTCCATTTTGTTCAGGTTTTGAAGTGACGAGACTAGAAGCGTTCTGGTGCAAAGCTGACATCAGTTTACCCAATCCACTGGCCTAGATACAGTAAAGGAATTGAGTCTTTGTCACAAACTATGATTTTCTAATCTCTATATCTTTGTAATCCAATGCCTTAGACCTTAGATATTTTAAACTATGAATTCTGTTATATGAAAGAATCTAAGTTTGAAATATCAAAGGTTTACACCATCAGGTTGAAAAAATATAGGTATTAGAAAATCAGAGTTTGTTACAAAGACTCAATTCCTTTATATTATTAATTTAGTATTTCTTAAGTTTTATTTCTAGACATATTTATAGATAATATCTATTAAGTATGAATAAGATGTATCTTAATAAAGCTGTTTTCATTAATGTAGTTTCAATTACTTTTTACTTTCTCGCTGGATTGTCGAATGAAAGTTTCTCGCATAAACGTTTCTATCATGATACTATCAATCATGATAGTTTCTATCATGATAGTTTCTATCATGATAGTTTATATCATGATAGTTTCTAGCATTACAGTTTCTATCATAAAAGTTTCAATCATAGTAGTTTCTACCATGAAGGTTTCAATGATGATAGTTTCTATCATGATAGTTTCTATCATAATACAGGGTGTCCCAAAAAACATGGGAATTCAGTGACGAATTCGATATCGTCTTTGTTATGAATTGTAATACCTAATTTCAAAACCCATAATATTGTTATGTCTGCTAGAGTTTATTTTATCAAAAGGGTAAAGATGTGTCTATAATGTCTCCGCAAGATGGACAGTGATGACGGACAAGTTTACTCTGTATGTATACTGCAATTTTCTTGTTTTACTAAGTACACCCTTATGCAATCAAAACATAAACAAACAAAATGTGAACATAGCAGACGAAACTCTTACAGATTACAGCTTTCTCAGTAGGTATCACTATACTGAATCAAAGAATTATTTTAAAAGACGATATCGAATTCGTCACTGAATTCCCATGTTTATTGGGACACCCTGTAGTTCCAATCATGATTTTTTTTACTATGATAGTTTTCTTTTCAATGAAACCAGAGGAATTTCATCAGCAAGAGAAATGAAAAATGTTGCTGAAATTATTCAAGAATTCGCCTCAAAGGTTGCAACCCCGATTGAACTCCTTATCTCAAGAAAATTTTGCATAAAATTGATTTGAAATGCAGAACAATAATCTGATCCTGTCATCTTTGAAGAGTATAAACGAGGGCAAAAACAAGGCTTCATTCAAATCCAAGCATTGCAAATCATATCATAAATACAATCAAACAAATATGCGTTTAATTTAAGCTTTCATTCAATTTAATTTACTTTTGAACAACGGATTTTATCTATAAAAGAATTAGAATAAAAAAGTTCAATAAGTTCATGAACAATCAAATTACAGATATATCTTGGAAGAAACACTATGAATTAGAATTAAAAGGTTGTATATAAAGAGTGTTGAACAAAAGACAGTTCCAATTTTTTCTCTCTAAGGCTTAAATAATACCCGATCACAATGTCAACATGGTTAAATTAAATTATATTAAATTTATTGGATTTGAAAATTCTGCTTTGAGAAACAACTCTTCATGTTTCATGGGGATGAAACTGATATCATAATTGTGATATCAATTTCATTTGAATTAGATAATAATTTCATTAAAATTGGATGATAATTTCATTAGAATCGAATAATAATTTCATTAGAATCGAATAATAATTTCATTAAAATTGGATGATAATTTCATTAGAATTGGATAATAATTTCATTAGAATTGGATAATAATTTCATTAGAATTGGATGATAATTTCATTAAAATCGTTAAACAATTTCATTAAAATTGGATAATAATTTCATTAAAATCGGAAAATAGTTTCATTGCAGTCGGATAATAATTTCATTAAAATCGGAAAATAATTTCATTAAAATTGGTAAACAATTTCATCAAAATTGGATAATAATTCAATTAAAATCGGAAAATAATTTCAGTGAAGTCGGATATTAATTTCATTCAAATCGGATAATAATTTCATTAAAATCGGAAAATAGTTTCGTTAAAATCGGAAAATAATTTCATAAAAATTTGATAATAATTTTATTGAAATTGGCAAAAAATTTCATTAAAATTGGATAATTATTTCATCGAAATCGGATAAAAATTTCATTAACTCGGATAATAATTTCATTCCAATCGAATAATAATCTATATATAAATTTGGCTTGTCTGTTTGTCTGTTTGTATCCAATAAACGTCGAAACGGCTGAACCGATCGGGCCCAAATTTTTTGTGGGACATCTAGGGACCCCAGGGAAGGTTTATGAAAAATCAAAATTTCAAATATTTGTCTCCATCAAAATTCGATCGTCATTAAATTTCTAAAAATTTTGAAAATCCGCGAAATTTTTTGTGAAAATCCGCGAATTATTTTTGTTTTGTTTTACGATGTACACAAAGAGAACATGTTCACAACTAATATAGAAGATGGGCGCGAAGCGCCCTCTAAGGCTAGAAAGAAGGGCGCGAAGCGCCTTGAATTTCTAGTTTCATTAAAATCGGATAATAATTTAGATTTCGAAAGAAAAAAGTTTTAATATCTGGGTTTTTCAAAACCCTTTAGATAAGAGTTTGAAATTTATAAAAGAGGTTGAGATGTAGTTAAACTGTACAAATTCTAAAATTATTATTATTGAAGTTAACCGTTATTCTAAAACTCTAAAACACATGATATATAATATATATGTATTGTAGATCGTTTAATCACATCGTGTCAGAGAACTTAATGAACAATCTCCCCATAATATTGAGACTGATTTAGATATAGATTAATAGATAGATAGATAGATAAATAGATACCCATACATGTTAGGCCTCTGTTCTATAAATAGAAAAAAATCAATCATTTTTCTGATGAAGTTGACGTTGATTAAAAAACTATAGTTCAGAACAGCAAAAATAAAAGTTGTAGTTGAGTTATGAAAGACTCTATTTAGATTGAAAAGGGTTATAGATGTAATTTCAAGCCCCACCCCCCCTTAAAATAGAAGATACCGCTCTTTTCTATCTCTTTTCTATCCCTTTTCTATCTTTTTTCTATCTTTTTTCTATCTCTTTTCTATCCCTTTTCTATCTCTTTTCTATCCCTTTTCTATCCCTTTTCTATCTCTTTTCTATCTCTTTTCTATCTCTTTTCTATCCCTTTTCTATCCCTTTTCTATCTCTTTTCTATCTCTTTTCCATCCCTTTTCTATCTCTTTTCTATCTCTTTTCTATCCCTTTTCTATCTCTTTTCTATCTCTTTTCTATCCCTTTTCTATCTCTTTTCTATCCCTTTTCTCAATCAATATAATACGTATAATTGTGCGTCCATATTGTGCAACAGAGAACTTTAATATTAAAATGATTGCCCTCATAGTATTTAATATTTTGTTTTCCTGCTTGTTAATTTTAGAAAGGTCCTTGGTTGGATTAGGCGACCATTACCCAAATTTAAAACTTAATATGCATACATTGAGCCCAATCAGCTGTAAAGCAGGCTTTTAAACAGTCTGAACAGTTCAGCCTATATAATCAATCATAGATATCCAAGCTTATTCTAAATTCTGATCAAATATACGTTTAGACAGTAAATACATCATGTTTCAGATTATCTTCAGGCATTTCAAACAACTTCGTTAAATCATAAAAATAACTATTTATCTCTTCGTTACAGGGAGGCAATAGAGATGCAATAAATATAGGATGGAATATTGCATTCCCAAGACCATTGTTGGGTCCTAAAGTATGACGAGCGTCGCGAATGATTCTTTAGGACCTAAAAATGTCTTGGGAAGCCAGAAAATATTAAAAAAGAGACATTAGTTAAAGGAATTGTTCAAATATTTTTAACTAGTCATACTTTTATACAGTAGTAGGTGAATATATCAATACAATAAAATCGACTTTTTATCTGAGTTTTTTTTGTATAATAAGCTTTTTCCAGATTACAAGTTTACAAGTAATCAGAGAGAAGCTTCTTATTTGACATGCTTCTCTTGACTTCTATGTGTATCCATGCGGTTTAACAGATTGATATGAATCAGAGTTGAAATCGAAAGTTGTATTTATCGTATTGATATAATCGGCTACCACTTTATACTGACTACGGCTGATTATATTTTTGTACTGGCTATGACTAATTATTGCTAACACAATGTAGATTTAACATATGTACATTGTAATTGTACATGTCTATGGAGAGTATAAAGAAGTTAGTAAATGTAAAACTAACGACCAAGGTGTTGCGACACCTCAATGTCGGCCTAGTTTTGAACATTAATGCAACGTTTCATAAAATTCGGGATGTATGCGAACATTAGAATAGCGTTAATTGGAATTATGTCAGGATTTTTTATTTATCAAATTAATCTGAAATCTCAAGAAACAAAAGTTACCTTCTTCCCGAGTGGTTCTTTTATGGAACTCCGTGAGGACCTCATGATGTTTATTCCTTGAAACAAAATTAATAATTAGTATTTTATAAATTTTAAATTGTCTACTTTTTCAAGGAACTCCGGCCGACCCCATATAATTACACTTCACAAACACACAACATTCAAAATGGCCAATTTAAGCTTAAAAATTTTAATCAGATATGCCTTTTAATAAAATTATAAAATATTGAAGTTTTTTGGACCACATTCTTTTTTCCTGAATAATTTTAACTTTTACACAATTTTTCAACTGCCGCCAAATTGTTGTCCAAAGGAATTGAGTCTTTGCCACAAACTCTAATTTTCTAAGCCCTATATCTATGCAATCTGATCGTGTAAACCTTTGATATTTTAAACTTTGATTATTTAATATAATGGAATTCATAATTTGAAATATCTGAGGTCTAAAACATTTGGTTACAAAGATATTGTGAAAAGACTGAATTCCTTTCCAAAGACTAGGCAGATTTCTTATGTTCATAGGTGGATTTTGATTCAATTTTTTTTTTTGGGGGGGGGGTCAGATTTACAATTTCGGCTTGTCATGCATGTTCTCTTTATAGAGGTTTTAAATTATTTTTGTATAAATATATATGCAAGTGAAGAAGATTTGCATGAAATAACTGAGATCATGCAACCTGATTCTTGAGAATGTAAATTTTGAAAAATAAACTTTGAAATATCGTTGTAAGATACAAAAGTTATAAAAGGAAAAATGTTGAAAAAACGTGATTAACTTTAACAACATCAGAACCCAAAATTAAAAATAATACCGATCAAGCTAATCTCGAAAATAACGATGGAAATAATTAGCGGGGGAGGGGAGTGGGGGGGGGGGTAATATAGTTGTTGACCCCCCTCTCCCTATCAATTTAAATTGTAAGTTGGTAATCAAGGTAGTGGTTAATAATCAGCAGATCTTTAAATATAAAAAATGATTTCAGCTTGAATTTTCTACTTCTATTCATAACATGAATATTCAAATATGTTATCGTTGTTCTAGACTTTTTCTATTTCCTATATACTGAATCATGTTCATGCATGACTGTCAGTGTCTACAGGAACCCGTTTGAGCCAAAACTTCACGAATTTTCTCTATAACATTCCTGGTATCGACCCAATTTAATAAACTAGAGCTAGGTCACTAAACTACTTACTGCTGGTTCAAATCTTGAATCATCAATTCAAAGTTAAAGATTCTTGAGGTTACAAATTGGTTATTGAGGATTTGAACCGGCGCGGCGGTTAAATTAAGTTTAGAACCTATTTTCATCCGAAAAATGTAAATTTTTCATATTTGCTATTTTATACTTTTTTAGTGGGTCTATTTTGAATAAAAAGTAAAAATATGACTGAAAATATTCCAATACAGACGTACAGGATGTACTTTGTTACAGTTAGTTTTACGTGGGTATGCAACTGTACAGGATGTACTTTGTTATAGTTAGTTTTACGTGGGTATGCAACTGTAACCAATACACAGAGAACACGATAAAAAGAAAAAGATAGTGAAACAGCGAAAAATTACTAAAAAACCAAAGAAAACATTAACACAAAAAAATGGAAAAAAGGGAAAATGAACAGAAAAGAAGGAGGATGAGTAAAATCAGAAAACATCTTTTTTTAATTAGTTTAAAGTAGTAGAAGAGAAAACATTGGAGATAAAAGGTTTTAAAGAGGATAGATAGTGGAAAAGAAGGAGAAGAATTATGGAAAGAACGGAGAAATTATCATAAACGGAGATAGTTGTGGAAAAAGAATAAAGGAAAAAATATACGCCCCATGTATTTATGCAGAATAAGAAATAACGTTAAAATAAAGACGACGAATAACCGAAGGTGACGATGAAATAAGAAATTTCGTTAAAAGAAAGACGACAGCATAACCGAAGATGACGATGAAAAGATTATTACTTCAAAATAGACAACGAACGATGATTTAATAACAGTTTAATCAATTTAAATTAAAATTTGCCCATAAAAACTAAATTTTTTGCTTTTTCTCTTTCATACTTTTTTTGTTGGCGGATGCGTTTCAAATGTAAATTGTTCTTTATAAGACGATGCATCTAGCCCTGAAGTTCAGAGTGAGTGAAATACGTTCAGTAATTTAAGTTATAAAAGACACTTTTATTGTGTCAAAGGAAATCTTGATAAAGTCTGAGCAAATGACGTTTTAACTTTTTTACATGGACAATTTTAGACGGAGTGACAAGTATTGTTTATCAGACAGATTAAAAGACAAATATAGGCGGACAGAAAGAAAAACAGACAGATATAGACAAATAGACAAAGATGGAAAACAAGTGAAACGTAATAAAATCAATATAAAGATAAGTAAACAGGCAAATTGGCAGATATACAGATAGATAGCCAAACATGCATAGACAGATAAACATGGATGGACAGATAAACATGGACAGACAGATAAACATGGATGGACAGATATACATGGATAGACAGATAAACATGCATAGACAGACAAACATGCATAGACAGATAAACATGGATGGACAGATAAACATGGACAGACAGATATACATGGATGGACAGATAAACATGGATAGACAGATATACATGGATAGACAGATAAACATGCATAGACAGACAAACATGCATAGACAGATATACATGGATGGACAGATAAACATGGACAGACAGATATACATGGATAGACAGATCAACATGGACTGACATTTAAACATGGATAGACAGATAAACATGGATTGACAGATAAACATGCATAGACAGATAAACATGCATAGACAGATATACATGGATGGACAGATAAACATGGATAGACAGATAAAAATGAATAGACAGATTAACATGGATGGGCAGATAAACATGGATAGACAGATCAACGGATAGACAGATAAACATGGATGGACAGATAAACATGGATAGACAGATTAACATGGATGGACAGATAAACATGGACAGACAGATAAGCATGCAAAGACAGATAAACATGGATAGACAGATAAACATGCATAGACAGATAAACATAGATAGACAGATAAACATGGATAGACAGATTAACATGGATGGACAGATAAACATGGACAGACAGATAAACATGGACAGACAGATAAACATGGATAGACGATCAACATGGACTGACAGATAAACATGGACTGACAGATAAACATGGACAGACAGATATACATGGATAGACAGATCAACATGGACTGACACCTAAACATGGATAGACAGATATACATGGATAGACAGAAAAATCGAAAAATTATACATATATATCTGTTCATTAATTATACTAATGTGAAAGCAACCAGACTAGACTAGACAAAATGACAGATAGACAAACAGACAGTTTAACGGAATGATAAAAACATCCTGTCTGAATACTGATATGATGAATAGTGAATAAACACTATATATATATATATATATATATTAATTTATATAGGATACATAGATAGGATTTATCTTTTTTGAATTTAACAATAGAACACACCTTCCAGACACCCCCCCCCCTCACACACACACAATCTTCATCTATTCAACCAATCAGCTTATAGGATTATCAATGAAACATTAAAAAAAATTCAAATACAGTTATAAAATAAAAACTAGATTATACAGGGGGTGGGGGGATAACAGATTTTTTTTAAAACAAGTTTTAAAACTTTTAGAGGTTTCTATTAAACTACTGTTTTAATTTATACTTTTATCTCATTGAAAAGGTTAATTTTTCATTATTTTTGCAAAATTATTAAATTTTTTTATGGGTTTTAATTTATTAATGATTTGGGAAATTTCAGATTTGCAGATAAAAACAAAAAAATATTACTTTTACTTTTAAAAAGGAAAGCTTATAGTCTTTTTATCTGTTGTGATTTACGTGAATTTCAAATTGAATTCTGATGAGCGACTTTGATGCGTTCTTTTTGCATTAAGGTATTCGACAACGAAATCATTTTGGTTTTCTGATCCCTACATCTTTACAACCCAATGTCCATAGACCCTAAAACACAAATCTGTCTGAATTTTGATTGTCTAGCTGAACTATGTATGATCTAGTACATGAGCTGCCATATTAGAAAATTAGTTCAATTATCCGTACTTAGAACAACTACTTATTGAAATTATTTTAGAAAAACAACTTATTTGAATTATTTTAGTACGAATACTTATTGGATTTATTTTGGTCATTTTAAAGAACATTTCTGAATCTATTCTGTTGTTTATATTAAGTTAAAAGTTCTCTGTGAGCAATTCCTTCCTTTAAACTTTTCTAAATCAAATACTACAATAAAATATTAAATGATAAATTAATATTAAATGTACAGTAAAATATGACACTATAAAGACGACCGGAAACTTTAATTCTGACTGAAGGTTGAACTTGTACTTTAATTTTAATTCAGTTATTTTGCAAAGAGAGGAAATGATATAGAGTTGTAAGAAAGCATCCATGTAAGGAAAAGGACTAAGCGAATACTGAAAAGTCGCGGCTGAAGTCTCATATCCTTTGTGGGTAACCCTGTATATCTTTTAAATTGTTTCATTTTGGTTAAGGGTTTAATCGAATTTAAAATATAAAAGCCAATTTATACAAATTAGAACAATTTGGAATCAATCATGCAAAATTTTAGAATTATTTTTTAAATATTAATCCTATCCTGATTGTTTAATACAGATGGGGGGGGGGGGGGGGGGGGGAAGCCTTCCACCTTTCCTATGATTTTGCCTTTTAATTTGAGAAAGAGATGTGATACATGTCCCCAGTCCAAGTTTTCAAAGCCAGCTCATTAAAAAGTATTAAGACCTCCAACTTCAAGTTAAAAAAGTACGTCGGAAATATTTTGATTTGTATGGTTCTTGTTCTTTTTAATAAACAATAAACATGCTCCAAATAACCATTTGCTTCCCTTTTATTTTCCCTATCCCTCCCTGCACCCCTTCCTCATCTCCCTGCACCCCCTCCTCATCTCCCTCCAGCTGTACCCCCTCCTCATCTCCTTGTACCCCCTCCTCATCCCCCTGCACCCCTT